CTCTTTTTCTCTAGCAGAAATTTGTTAATGGAGTCAGATATAGTTATAACTAACACTGTAATTTTAAACTACATTGTAATAAAAGATGGGGGATTTTGCACCTATCAAATTACCCACTATAATGATCTTTTACCAGCTTTCAAGCAGGTCATGTAACGTAGTGATATACACTGCGGTAACGTTTTCCATTTTTTAACATTCAAGGATGCATGTCTGTCAAGGGTCTTGTTGTGTAATATTTGACTTAATGTTAAACATCTCTACAGTGGAAGTTGCCAAGAAGCCAGAACTTTAAATGGTAGCTCATTTCCCTTATTATTTCTTTTTCCCTTAAGTCTCAGTTAGAGGTATGTTAGAAATTACCAAGAGGCATCCAGTTCAACCACCAATAAAATGTCCCAGTTGTCAACTGAAGTGAAGATTTTGTTATTAGTGGTGGTTTTGTTGGTTGGTTGGTCAGCAGAGAGAAGCTTTCTTCTCTCTGTTCATTTTTAGCCATGTATGTCCATGGGACAGAGTTGAGGTTGGGAATATTTCTACAATAGTGTCTGCCTGCAGAAGAAGTCAGAGCAGCTGAATGTGTCAGAAATAGGTTGTTTTCTTCTGTTTTCAGGAAGGTTGTAGTCATGATGTAGTTGATCCATGGTGTTTGAGCTGTCCCGTTCCTGGTCAAAATACTGCTTGGTATGCAAATAAATGTGTGGTCTTATGTACAGGTGAACATATGACAGAGCTGAGATAAAGCTGAGTCTAATTATTGCTGCTGTGAGGAAGTGTAGACTGTTTTGGTATTAATTATGAATTTTAGCGGGTGTTAAGAGTGTCTTTCAAACAATTGTCTCATTAGCATCTCTAGACTCTGGGCCTTAGACTGCCAGTTCCATCCTCTGTCTCTGACCTTGTTCACAGTGAACCAAGGTGAAGCTGCAATCCCTTGTGTGAAGAGACAAAACATATACAGTTGATTCTTATCTGTTTGTTCCCATGCAATGAGGTTTGTAATGTTGATAGTCCTAGAAATACATGTAATATTGGTAGTTGCTGTGTTGTCAGTTGCTAGGCATGTATTTGATGACCCTCTGCTTCAAACTACTTGTACTTCAATATTAAGATTGATTGCAGACATATAAATATAGTAGAAATTTAGAAGTTAAGATGGATATGAACCTGAGTGCTGTGGGTGTCTGAACAGCTGCCGTGCTGTTTCTTGACTATTAACCAGCTCTGTTGGACCCCTCTTTTCTCTAGGACATGTTCCCATGGGATTCTTCCAAGAAGGTCCCCAAAGAGGCTAAAGTTAGCTTTCATCAGGACCTTATTCATGGCCTTGCTTCTTCATTGCAAGATCCTGTACTGCACCATCTTGTCACTGCAGCCAAGGCTGCCCCCAGCATTCACATCCCCAGACAGTCCTTCCTTATTAGTACAAGGTCCAGCAGCCCACCTCTACTCAATGATCTCTCCACCACCTGTATCAAAAAGTTGTCATTAAATCTCTGCAGGAACCTCCTGGACTGTGTGTGCCTGGGTGTGTTGTTCCTCCAGCAGAGATTAGGGTGGCTGAAGTCTCCCATGAGAACCAGGACCTGTGACTCTGAGGCTCCTTTCAGCTGTCTGTAAAAGACTTCATCCACCTCCTCCTCCTGATCAGGTGTTCTGGAACAAACACCCACAACAATGTCACCCTTGCCTAGTCTGCCCTTTAATCCTAACCTGTAAAGTCTCAACTCGCTCATCATTCTCCCCGAGACAGAACTCTGTGCATTCCAGGTCTTACATAAAGGGCAACTCTACCACCTCACCTTCCTGGCCTGTCTTTTTAAATATATAATTCAAAACTCTTCTGTATTTGTAGAGCACTTAGATGACCAGACACATCCCCCTTTCCATGTTGAGTTTTGAGGCCTGAATTTTTACTTAAGTTGGACTAAACAGGAGTTTTTATTTTGACTCCCACAATTGAAATATTTCAGAAACATAGAAGCTAGATATAAAACCTCATTACATGAGGTATTTGGTTCTGCTGTAGTTGCTGTGCTGCTGTAGCTTCCTCTCTGACCTCTGCAGTTGCAGGTCTGTGTCCTGGTTTATAGGTGCTCTCTCTAACAGTGATTTTCCCCCCCCTTTGACTGTTAGGGTGTAATTCTAATTTGCATTAGAAAATCAAATGTTTTCTGTGTGTTTAAGTAAATGGGTAGGACCTTTGGAAAATTTTTCCTGTAAAGAGGCTATCTGGTGGTGGATAATAATACTGTTGGAGGTAATATGGAGGTAATAGTAATTAAGATATAATATGCCATGAATTGCTTTTCATTTCTACCATTGTGAAGCTAACACACTCTGGATAAACCAGTGTCTGGTGACACTGTAAGTTCTTCAAAAATAGTAATGTTGGAATAAAACAAGCACGTGTAATACTTAGCACCATGGAAATCGATACCAGCTAGGAACTTGTAAGAAAATGTCAACACAAACACGTTAATGAAACAGAAGAGATCTAAAACCCTTTCTAGTCGCACAGTCTCCATAAAGACACTGGTTTTAACACTGCAGAGATCAGTTTTGACTACAACTGATTTTGAAGATCCTCCCTTTCTGCACAGAGTTGATTCTCTCCATATTATCTAGGTTTTAACCTGTTTTCTAATCCAGAGATGTCATCATAGCCCCGAGACTACTGTTCCTGGGGTAATCCTTGATGGAGAGAGTGAGAACAGTATCACAGAGTATGGACTGCTTTTGTTTCCAAATGGCTTTTTAAAATAGCTGTGGGGGAACTGTCTCACATTTGATGTACTCTAAAATAGTTACCATGAAGTAGTTAACAGTGTCACCTTTTTTTTGTGCTGTTTGCCATTATAGATAGTTAATTTTTCAAAGATGATTTGTTGAAATCTGCATCTAGCAAAGAAGTATGGTAGAAGAGGAGGAGCTTTATATTGGATTTGTGTCCACCATGGTGTTTAAGAAAATGATTAATTGATTTTTCACTGTCCAGGAATTAAACCAACATTTTAAAATATCATTTTAAATATCAAAAAGTGGTTTAGATATCCCATTGTTTTTATTTAGTAAAGGTTCTAAAATCCAGGACATTCATAAAGCTTTTGAAAACGAATATTTTTGCTAGTAATACCTTCTATGGATTGCTGAGGCATGTTGTTCCCTCAATAGAAAGGTTACTAGTTTTGCTATGTCCAGAAGAGAGCAGAAGTTTCAAGCATAAGAAACACTCTTCCTGAAAACCTGTTTTTATTTTGCAACCTTTGAAGTTAGAAAATGTGTTTTGTGGACAGGTGGTAGATGTCTCTCTTACTTTGCTGCCACAAATGTATGGGCTTTAACTCCTCCCTTTTCTCCATGGGGTTTGTGAGCCTTGAGTTGTTGTTTTTCTCCATCAAGCCTTCCCTCAAAGTTTGTTGGTGCAAATGATGTTGTAGTTATCAAACCTTGTCAGCTGACACTGATTGGAAGAATCATTCTTGCTGGAGTCCCTCCCTGTGCCAGCACAAGTGTTTGTGGAGCTCTGCCGGTCTGGTTGTTAACTTGGGCTGATGGATTTATTTCTGTTGAGTTAGTTTTTGTTTGGATCAGCTCTTTACTGTGGTTTGCAACACACACCCATGCTGTGCTTGCATGTGAGAGGGGGAGATAGAGGAGTGAGAAAAAGCAGCCCATGTCAAGGAGAAAAGCAGCACTACTTCATTCAGGAGCTGATTCTTGAGGTAGTTCAAAGTGTTTGGGTGATGTTACAACACTGCTCTTCTAGATCCTTTCCTGCATTATACACTTGCAGGCTGAGCACTATTTCTTTTCAGAGCTTCTGAGATATTATTTGGAGACTAAGCTCTGATTTCCAAACCCAAAAGCAAATAGCACAGTCCAGCATCCATTGTTAATGTGAATTTGGTTTTCATGTGCAATAGATTCAACTTCTGAGCCTCCAGAACTCCATAAGCATATCTGGGTGTGAAATATTTATAGAAGAGTATTCTCATGAGGCTTTAAATTTCTGTTATTCCTAGGGGGCTCAAAAGATATGTCCCATGATAGCCATTTTCATTCAATCTGGGCTGTTGGTGGGAACTGGAAGTTGCCGCCCTCTACAGGTGTTTGCTGGTCTGGATGAAATGCAACAAAGTACTTCTATTCAGGTTTCCAGTTTTGGAGTGTTGCCAAACAATAAAAACTTCTTGTCAGTTTTCAAGCTACACAGCATCAATTTAATAACAGAGCAGGAAAAAAACACATATTGCTCTTTTTGTACATGCATGGGTGAGCATGGGGAAATTTTGTTAAGCAACTGGATGTTTACTGTGCGTCCTTCTTTTGTACTAATAAAAGAAGCTGCCACTTCATTGTCAGACAACACTGAAGATGCCATTTGTCCTTGAAATTTACTCTAAGTTGTTGTTTGGCACCATTTCCAAAGCAGTGGAACTTTGCAGCGGGGAGGAAGAATAGAGGAGAGAAAAGAACAGCAATCCCATTGCCTTAGAATTAGATTTGCATCAACTTTGGCCAGATGATAAATACTTGTTGTGGTTGTAACTTCTTTCTTGTTGGGCTGTCTGGAACAAATCATTAATGTAATTTGTTTACAAAATACTTGAGTCTTCTGTAAGCCCTTTTCATTTATTATGCAGGGTGTGTGTGTGAAAACTGTCTAATGCACTGATACAGCTAGTGGGGAACTTGGCTGAGCAATTCTGTGTAACATGATGAAATGTTTGGACCTACACTCACCAATTCATTTATTTATTTATTTATTTATTAGATTCTAGATAGAGATTGCTATAACCCATATTAGATTAGAAGAACAGGAGAAAGATGCTGTCATCTAAAATATAGACAAGTCTATATTTTAATGAAAGTTTGATGTCTTTATTTAAGGAAATCTCTTTATATAGTGACAGTAGTAGTTCACACCCTGCTGTGCTCTATTGAAATTTTCACATCAGTAGCAATGGAAGTGATACCGTGAATGGTTTTCTCCCCAGGTGCTGAAGAAGTCTTGCTGCTCGCTAGAAGAACTGACTTGAGAAGGATTTCCCTGGACACACCGGATTTCACTGACATTATTCTGCAGATAGACAATATCAGACATGCAATTGCCATAGACTATGATCCTGTGGAAGGCTACATCTACTGGACTGATGATGATGTCCGGGCAATTCGTCGGGCCTACCTTGATGGTGCTGGAGCACAAACTCTGGTAACCACAGAAATCAACCATCCAGATGGTATTGCTGTGGACTGGGTGGCGAGGAACCTGTACTGGACTGATACTGGAACAGACCGCATTGAAGTGACCCGGTTGAATGGGACATCAAGAAAGATACTTATCTCAGAAAACCTGGATGAACCTCGGGCCATAGTGCTCAATCCTGTCATGGGGTAAGTTTTGTGTTTATTGATAGCCCTGTGGTAGGCCTTTAGATCCAGTTTATGGTCTCCTGAAACTGAAAACTTATAAATTGGGGGGTGGTGTGTGTGCTGTTTGTCAAATATTGTGGAAATAACTGATTTTTCCTTTGCTTTATCCCTGTAATACTGTGCATATAAAAGATGACTTCTAAACAGAGTGTTGTTCAATGAACCTATACATTGGGTGTTAGGTTGAATTTTATTTTCTCTACATCTTCACTGTTATCCTTACTAGGAAAGAATTGGACCACCACACATTTTCAATAGTTTATTTAGTGCTCAAACTTTATATTGTTGTTACTGATCACAGTTTGAGTTGGCTTGTTTGCTGCTGTTGGGGAAGGAGAAAGAAAGTTCTTTGAAAAGCAAGACAAATCTTGACACGTTTTTGTCTTGTATGTTGAGTGCGTTAACTGTTTCCCCTCTTCTTTTACAGCTACATGTATTGGACAGACTGGGGTGAAAGTCCAAAGATAGAGTGTGCTTATTTGGATGGCTCAGAAAGGCGAGTTCTGGTGAATACGTCCCTTGGTTGGCCCAATGGCTTGGCACTGGATCTTGAAAAAAACAAGCTTTATTGGGGAGATGCAAAAACAGATAAAATTGAGGTGAGTAATAGAGCCATACTTGGGTGCATTTGTAGAAACCAAGTACTGTTCTCATGTGTAGCTTTATTTCTTGGATACATTTATCTTTTTTTGGAGGAGTCTTTTGTTTCATTAATATTAACATGATATTTAGCATAACAAGACATATTTGAGAAGAAAGGAAGTACATTAATGTGGTTTAGAAAACCTCTGCAAGAAATGTTATATTTGTTATGTCTACATTGCTCCAAGTGTAATTTAATTGCTTGAAATCTCAGGTTTTACCTGAGGCTTTTGCAACAAATTGGGACACTTGGGTAAAATCTGTTTAAAAGGTGTTTTGACTTGTCTGTGGTGCTTGGAACTACTATCTAAAATTGCTGCATGCATAAGACTTGATGCAAAGTTCATGTACAGGAGCAGGTGGATGTGGGAGCCCTAGGGAGCCATATTTCAGGATGTTAATGATTATATGATGTCCAGATTTGTGGACAAGAAGTAATTTTTAATGTACTGCCTGCTTTGTAAACTATGGCATTATGTGCCTGAATTTGAAGAGGGAATTTTTTACTTTGGTCATGGCTGGTGAAATTGATTGAGTTTTTATGTTGTTTGAGGCAGTAGCATATGCAGCATTTTTAGATAAATAATTTAGATAAATACATTTTGAGGAATGACTGTGCTTTCTAAAGGTTTTGCCCTCAGGAAGAGGGGAAACAAGACTGTCTGCTAGCTCCAGAAATTTAACTTCAGTGTTTGGCAGTAGCTAATACTGGGCTTGATGGTCCTGTCTCCCCTTACCTTTCAGCCTGCAGGACAGGGAACATTGCAGATGCCACCTTTTATATCTGGGACCAAAGCTGTGCCATGTGTTTCTTGGGGTTAGGTTAGGCAATCTGTTCAGTTTCTCACTTCACTGTAAGGCAGCAAAGCCAGTGATACTGTTTAGTTTAACATCAAAGTTTAGGAAAATCAGAGAACCCAAAGCAAGGACTTTTTATTCACTCTGTTTTTGTTTTGCTTATTATACTTCCTTTTTTTGATTCTCTTCTATTTGCAAAAAACAGAAGAGAGTGGTTCACTTTGTCTTGCAAACAGAAGGTACGCTTTAGATGAAGTGAAATGTGACATCTGTAACTAATGTTGATTCCTACATATTGTGCAACCTCAATTTAATTGCTAGCACAAAGAATGAAATTGCCATGCTCCTAGCAATGGATTCCACATTTTCTTAGATTAAAACAGGTGTAAATATTCTTATTTTAATATTCTCCCCTCTATTTTTCCATTTTTGCACTTTTTCTCCTTATGCTTGGAGTTTACTTTTGGTAACTATCACAGACTCCTTCTGAGACTGTATTTACAAATAACTCAGTAGACCCATTTAGGATCAAAAATAATGGGGAAAAAAAAGGTGTGTTTGCTCACTGTTATGAAGTGTGCTGTGAAAGGGTCTGTTGTGATCTGTTCTGGAGTGGCATGAGTTAAAATGGCACTGGCATGTTATTAGTAGAAATGAATGTGTATTGCAGAACTTCCATTAAAAAACAAATTTTCATTTTCATTTTGGAATATGTGCCAGTCACATTTGTATATTCTGCTCACTTGGGAAGGAGCTGTGTGACTAACAGTCGCTGACACAGCTAGATACTGGTCAGTTTGAGGTTGGTTTCTAATAGAGCTTCCTTTTGTTAATACTCCTCTACAAGATGAAAAAAGTGTGCTAAGAAAATATTTTAAAATAGAAGCAATCCAATGGATTGTATTTCACGTTTATTACTCCTTTTGCTCTATTTATAGCCTAACAGTCCTTTTCTTCAGGATTTGTGTTTGGTAGGTTCTGTCAATACTCTAGATTTTCACAGTAAACCATAGTTTGTACTACTCTGATGGCCCCAGTACACACAAAACATCACTGTAGGGTGTGTGAGGTGGGGCATTTCCACTTTCACTTGGTGCTGAAATTATTCAGCATAAACTCATTTTCTCATGCTTGTGTTCTTTTGCGAAGAACATGCCATTTAAGTGGCTCACCAATGCAGTTGATGTGTCAGTGATTTGTTCTGTATGTATGTTGTGTGTATGTTGCATCCACAGCTTGTCAGAAACAAAAATCAGCTGACTGCAAGTCAAGGATACACATGTTTTATACCGTAGTTGACCAGGCTGGGTATTGAGATTTTTCTTTTTCCGGGTAAGCACCTAAAAGTGCCTTGAAGCATGTTACTGGATGAATTTAGTTTATGGTAGCACCTAAAACCAGCGTGAGTGGGATAGTAGATAGTAGAGCTATAACTCTATTTTGTAACTCATTAGGTAGCAATAAAAAAAAAGCTGATAATGTTTTGGGTGGTTTACTCTCTTGCTACACTATGAGAAGGGGGTTCTTGCTTCACCTAAAATGACATTCAGATTTGTGCTGAGTGCTCCTGAAGAAGGAAGTCTTCAAACAACTGTTCAGCCCTTACAGAGTTCAGAAGGTTTCACTCTGCAGCTGCACTCTCCTGCAGAAGGCAAAGAAGGTGCTGCCTTGTCTGTGCTGAAGATGAGACCCCAAAGAGCTGTTAGATGGTAATGAGAGGGACAGTGGCTGAGCTGGTATATTGCTCTGCATTGGAGCAGTTGACTCTTAAGCTGCATTCTTTACTCCCATAGCCTTCTTTTCACAGCAGTCAGTTTCTCTCGGGCTTTTGCAGAGCTGTCACTTGACAGTTTTCTCATCCAAAAACCACAGCCCCAGATTTCCAGAAGAAATTGGAAATTTTCCAGAGACCAAAGATCTGCAAAATGTGTAAGGTAAATGAGAAAATTGCCATCTCCACTGTTTTCCTTTATCCCATCTACTTTCACCTGCCTCAAAATGTCACAGCTCACTGTGTAGGTATTGCAAAATAGAATAAAGTGAAACCATTATCTCCACTAGTGTGCAGAGCACAGTTGATCTTAAAGCCCATCAGGAAAGAAGTAATATTAAGACTGATGTTCGACAATGTAAAAAGTGCACTCTTGGAGGCTTTTCTGTAGCTTTCTGACAAACTGCTTCTAGGTGAGAATTGCTTTCATCACATAGCATGCCTTCAAATGCTTTTCATATAGAACAAAACAAGAGTGGATATAGCTTGTGCATATTTGTGTGTATCTGCTTGGTATTCTGCTCTGGTTTCTGGTGTTTTAGATCTGCAGAGAGTCATCTTACTCTCACTGGGAAGGCCTGTTCATATATAAACTTCTTAAGCAGTGTCTGAACTTTATACAGCTTGGAAATTTGATAAGCTTAAGACATCTGTCCTATTCTTCCTGGACCTTGGGTTTGAAATATACTGTAAATATCTTTGGGTTGGTTGGTTGGTTGGTTTCTTTCGGGGGTGGTTTGGTTTTGTTTTGGTAACACATTTTGACACTACTTTTGGGTGTGCTCTTCCACAGTTAGAAAATATGCTGCAGAGCTGTTGAGGGTACACCAAGCATCATCCTGTACCAGGAGGTTGTGTTTTACTTGTGCGTGTAGCGCTTCACGGAGTGAAAACAGCGGTTAACCTTTCCTGTCAAAACCCCTTTTCTAACCTTCCCATCTGCACCATTCAGCTGCAACACAAAGGGCCCAGTCACTTTGCAAGCAGTTTGCATCCTGAAGAAACCACTTGGCAAGGCTTGTCAAAATTTTGCGTGACAGGAGCCTACGGGGCTTTCACTGCAAATTTGGCACCCTGTGGTAACATTATTCCCAGGTTTTAAATTATTTTTTTTTAATTAGTTTGACAAAGTGTATGGCAATGAAAAATAGATAGCAACTTTTGAGTTGTGTCTGTCAAAATCATAGCTTCAGCTACAAGTAAGGGACATGCATTAATCCAGCTGAACTCTGGTTTTTACTGACAGAGTTACTTTCCAGGAACAAACAGCAGATTAATAAGGATTACAGGGTTCCAGCAGAGAGAGAAGCAAAGACCCACGTGTATAGTTTCCTAATTCTCCTTAAAAAAAATTCTGTGGTAAGCCAAGTTTTCCCATGTATTATTTCTTCAGTGTATTTCCTTAAAGTGCCTCAGGTATAATTGCATAATGAGCAATTATGAAATTTTCAGATGCCTGTTATTATGTATGCATTCTACTTAAGCTTGTGCAATATTCTTGGAATAAATGTTCGGCAGACTATCCCTTCTGGCAGCTTCCCCTCCTCTCCCTCCTCCCCTTCCCCTCTGTTGACAAATGTCCTTCATTTGTTTTTTTGTGGAAGTTTCATAATCACATACAGTAATTCTTTGCAAGTTTATGGGATGTTTAAAGTGCAAGTCAGCACCTGATGACAATCTTGGAGTTCACTGAAATTTTTTACCAAGGTGCAGTTATGTGGGCTGTCCTTGAAATTTAAGGAAACAGACTTTACAGTTGTTGATTACATTATGCATAAATAGTGTAAAAGGACATTTGGAACAGTTTGCACCTTAAATAGGAGTAGGATTTGTAGAATCAGTTGTACCGGGGAAAAAATTAACAATCAAACTAATTTAAGGCTGCTAGTTCTAAACAAGTCGAGGTATACTTTCCATATTACATTTTATTTTCCAGTCGTTTGACCTAAAAAATGCAATATTTAGGTCATACATGAGACATTTTCTCATAACCAACACATTTTTGTATGTGTGTTTCTTTGCATTGGGATTTTTCACCAAAGAATTTTAAAAACTGTGTAGTGTCATAAACTACTTGGAAGATATTGTGGACTGATTTATTGAAACAGGCAAATCTCATAGGGAGAAAAACTAATTTAAATTTATTGCTACATGCTAATTAGATATAAAAATCTCAAAGCATTATTTATCTATAAATATAACTGTATTTCAGAAGACCGAATTTATACTTATATTAACGTAAATAATCCCCACACTGCATATTTATATAGTAATATATATGAGAACAGAAAAGTTAAATGGATATAGAAATAAGAAATACAGGATCCCCGAGACTGAAAGAATGGATCTAAGATCTTAAATTGTTGCAAGCAGGCAGGTGCATTAATT